TCTTATGATCCCTTGGTTGTGAAGGAATTTATGCAAATTTGCAAACCTCCTTTTTAAAGAAAAACTCTCCAAACTTTGGCAAAGTTTTTGTGCGCAATGCCATTTTTTCTTTTTCTCCCAAAATTATCAACTCTCATTTACAAACTCCTACTGTGATTGATGAGGATAATTATGGTGATTTTACTGAGATTTGCAAAGTTATTTCTGGAAACCGTTTAAAAAATTGGCCTGCACACCCAAGAAAATTCCAAGTGTCTCAACTCACTGCTTTCTACTCTGTCGTGTTTAGACTCACAGTGACTAATTGGATTCCATCCAAAAATGTCTCTGTGGTAACTAAGCCTCATGCTGTACTCATGTACAAATTGGGGATGGGTTTACCAGTGGATTTTGGCAAACTGTTCTTTGATACTATTGGTCATCTTGCCCAGAACATTTCACCCTCCACTCACCTCCCTTATCCTTCTCTCATCTATTCCATATTACTCTCTCAAAACTTGGGCCAAGATGACTCAGAATATCTTCACACTCCACAAGGCATGATCAATATTTCCCAAAATTTTCTGAGAACTCCTCATGTTCAAGATCTTCCCTGGAATGGAGATAATTTTCTCTCAACTGAATCAGGTCAAAATAACATTGGTACTGAGGGTGTTGCACCTCATGTTGACAACACTTCTAACCTTCTTGTGTCTGTTCCTAGAGATCTTCTATTGCAGCAGCTTACTCATTCTCTAGCTCAGATTACCTATCATCAGTCCATGGTGGAGATGATTCAGAAGGCTCTTTCTGATCAAAAAGGGGGAGAAAAAGATCATGAAACTGAAGCAGGAACATCTCACCCTTTGGATGCTAGAGGCAGAGAGCAAGGAGTCAATGAAGAAGCAAAGAAAGAGGGTGAAGCTCAAGAAGAAAGCAGTGGATCTAGTGATGGAGGAGGAGCAGCAGCTGATACTGAGGAGACCTTGGAGACTCTGGATATTTTACTTTAGATTGTTTTCATGAACAATATTTTTATTGTGTTTTGTTTATTTTCCCTCTGAACTTTTGTTTAGGACTGCACTTTGGTTATTTCTTTTGTTGGACTATCTTGCTGAATTTGGTTTTAATTTATTGTTTCTATGTTTTTTCAAATGGTATCAAATTCAGGGGGAGTTCAAGCAATATCTCAGGGGGAGTCTTTGACTACGATTTAGTTTTGATCAGAAAGTTAAAAAAGGGGAGTTTGAAACACGTGAATTAATTTCACAATGTGTTTTTAACTTTTCTTTAACTCTAAACTAAATCTTAGTTAGTGGGCTAAGTAGGGTTAAGTAGTGCTTAGTGGATTTAATTATGGAATTTATCTTAACATCCTAACTAACCCACTAACCCATTATCTTGAGTGCTCTTGTGGTTGGTTTTTCTTGCAGATCATGGGCTGAGGAGTGGAAGCTTGGCAAGTCTATAAATACCAAACTCAAGACTCAAGAATTGTGCAGATTTCGAGGAAACAAAAATAGAGCTGAAGTTTTAATCTCGAGAATTTTAGTGTGTTTTCTAGGATCTGTTGTACGTACTCTTTATGAGTACATTCTTTGAAATCTAGAATTTTTAATATTTTTCTTTTAGTATCTAGATTTGGTTGTAAGAGTGATCTTGAAAAAGATTCATTCATAAGGAAGAAGTTTTCGCACTCTTCTGTTTGTATTCTTAGAATACTGTTTTTAATATATTTTTCCGTCCTGTAAAGGGCAAGTTCACAAGTCTTTACTTGTGAACATTTTTAATTCTGAGTACTGTCTTTTAATCTTTATATTTCCGCTGCATGTTGTCTCAAGTGTCACAACACTTCAGATAACATCTCTGTATAATACGAATTCGGGACCATAAATTCTTTCAAAGGCTAACCGTAAACACAAGTTTTTCAAGCGAAACGGAGGTTTGTTATTGCAACAACAGTTGTCTGTAGCTGACAACGGCCTAGAGAAAACCAAGTTGTTTAGTTCCAAGGACTTGGCACAAGCTACAGATCGTTACAACGAAAACCGTGTACTTGGTCGCGGTGGCCAAGGTACAGTCTACAAAGGGATGTTGACAGATGGAAGAATCGTGGCAGTCAAAAAGTCAATGAAGGTAGAAGAAGGCGATGTCGAACTTTTCATCAACGAGGTTGTTATTCTGTCACAGATAAATCATAGAAATGTGGTTAAACTACTAGGGTGTTGTTTGGAGACCGAAGTTCCTCTTTTAGTCTACGAGTTCATTCCCAACGGGACACTCTTCCAACACGTCCACGATCCAAACGAGGAGTTCCCTTTATCTTGGGAAATGCGAGTCCGTATTGCAGGAGAGGTAGCCGGGGCGCTTTCTTACTTGCACTCTTCTGCATATGCACCTATTTATCACAGAGATATCAAGTCGACGAATATATTATTGGATGATAAGTACCGGGCCAGAGTTGCTGATTTCGGGACATCAAGATCCATTCGCATCGACCAGACACACTTGACCACACGAGTACTAGGAACATTCGGTTATTTGGATCCAGAGTACTTCCAATCGAGCCAGTTTACGGATAAGAGCGATGTGTATAGCTTCGGTGTTGTTGTGGTGGAGCTTTTGACGGGGGAGAAAGCTATATCATCGATTAGAGCCGATGTGGGAAGGAGTTTGGCAACACATTTCTTGAACTCGATGGAGGAGAATCTTTTATTCGAAATTCTCGATGCGAGGGTTTTGAAAGAGGGGAAGAGAGAGGAAATTGTGGCGATTGCTGAACTTGCTAAGAGATGTCTGAATTTGAATGGAAAGAGAAGGCCAACTATGAAGGAAGTTGCTATGGAGTTGGAAGGAATTCAAATGGTGAAAGAAGACTCAGTGGCTTACATGCAAAATCAAGACTCAAGCTCAGAAAAATGAAAGCTTGATAAGCTCGACCTCGAGTCGGGCTCAAGTTCCAGCTCGAAAATCTGGCTAACTCGGCTCGTTACACCCATTGGCACTTTGTACTTGGTGGCACTCAATAAGCTAATTTCTTCTTGGATAAATTACAAGAGACTCCATGAGGTAAGGTCTTCTTATGAAACCCCCCTCAAATTTGTGTAATTATGAAAAATCCCCCTAAGGTAAATCGTATGTCGTCTTACACCGTCTACGTACGATGTTACTTTTGACATAATCTTTTTGATTCAATGAGATATTCCTCTAAAAATGGTCATTTTTTGCGCTTGAGCGTGTGTTAATACTATTTACATAAGATAATTGTACGCATATTAATTACTTAAGGGGTAAATTGTAATATATTTAAAAAAACGTAGTTATTTTTAATTTTAAAACTATTATATTTTTCTTCGTTTATAATTATTAAAATAGAATATATACATATATATATATCTTGTAACACTAAACTTTTTACTTTGTTTTGTAATTTTTGGGTTTAAATTTTTTTATTCTTTTAGGGTAAATTACACTCACACCTCTGAGGTATGCTAAAATAATTTTAAGGTCGTTGTGGTATGAATTATAACACTCACCCCCTGAAACATAGTCAGAAATTCTAATGTGATAATGCATTAGATATGTTATTCTGATAGAATTCTAAAGGACTATTACATTTAGTTAGTGTGAGACAACACAGAGTTAGGAGCTGACATGGCTCCCCCAACATTTCTTAAATCACCCATAGCTCTTTGTTGTCTCCACTATTTCCTGAAACTAATAAGCAGTTGGAACTCTATTGGAATAATGTATCCATTGCATTATCCCATTAGAGTTTCTAATTATGTTTCAGTGGGATAAGTGCAATTATCGGTACCATAGGAATTTTAAAGTTATTTTAGTATATCTCAGGCGTGTGGGTGTAATTTACCCTTTTTTAATCAATAAAATCGATTTTACATATTTTAGAAATATTTTTGTATTACATATTTTATGTTACAAATACTTTATCATTTTTTAATAATATTTCAATTTTAAACAAACGAGTGAAGGGTAAGTCGAACAGGGAAATATAATTATGATTTTTATGTTACTACTTTCTTCCAAGAGATACTGGGTATTTGTTGATATATTATTTTTTTTCTTCAAAAAATAACATTGTTGGGAGACTTGTGTAAAACGGCAACAGACATCAGCGGGATTTCCAAATAACGGTGGTAAATGAGTTGAGCTGACTCGTGAGCTCGATGAGCCGATTTGAAAAAAGCTCGAACTCAAACTCGAATTTTTCGAGCGCGAGCTTTTCTTAGTTGTTTGTGAGCTCATGAGCCGGCTCGCAAGCCATATTATTACTTTTTTATTTAGATAATGTATAATAATATAAATATTATAGGTATAATATTAAAAAGAACAAATAAATATTATATATATATATATATATATATGTATAATTACAATTTATTGTTTATTTTGTAAGT